TTTGAGGAAACAATGGCTTTGATATTAAAATAAATAACACAACTATTGAAGATCAAATAAAATATGGGTTGGTAATGAATTTAAAAGATATTAATATACGTTTATGTGGAGTGCACAGGTCTGGAAACCCCTTAAACATTGTCTGTATGCGGTTTTCCTCCTCACTTTTCTCAGTACTCTGTGTTTTGTCAAACCCTTTGTCCTGTTAAGTTAACTAGACTTCTGTGACCTCGATATCCTCTGGCATTTTAATTAAATATTATATATAAGAATTGCTGGTACCTAAGATTTGCCGGTATCTAAGAATTGCAAATCAAACACAACTCGTGGTTACTTTTTGCCGGCATCTAAGAATTGCCGGCAAATCGAACACAGCTCGTGGTTACTTTTTGTCCGGCCCATATCGGCCATCGTAAAATATACATGGACACACCAAAATAGCAAATAAACTTGAAAAAAATGGTACATTCTTGCTATGTTATCTTGCTGTGTCATTAATCAATAAATGATGAAAATCTTTGTCACACGACTTCTGTATGTATACGGTATGTGTTACAGACAGACAAATCTCCCACTCTCACTAAGTAACTAATCCTGGTAACATAAGCGTGCTAGGTGAACGACTTATACCCAGACCGCGATATATAAATGGCTTATGTCGCGAGGGGAAAGCTGGCGATCGGCGTGTGCCGAGATCGACTTATGACCCCTAAGTGTCACCAGTAGACCCTGACAAGTAAGCCTAATTACACAAATATAGACATTTCTAGATACCAATTTCAGTGTGAGGATTTTTGATACAGACACGCACGGGACGTAAGCCTCTTTCCCTGATTTATCTGGCAATCGCGTCGCGGATCGTGTGAAGCTGACAGGAAGCGTGTATCTGTGTTGGAATGGCTACACCAGTGGTCCAGTTACATATTTCTTGTACTCAAGCTTTCAATGTAATGCATATACACGAAATCTTTGTTTAGGAGACGAGACATTTTTATATGATATGATAAATGTACAATACATCACCTACGTAAAGTGGTTTCAGTATCCTACATTAAATACCAAATTTATCCCCGAGACGCCAAATAATTATGCCAGGTCGAAAGTATAATGCAACCTTTTTACGTAATTCAATTTTTTTTAAAAATCATAAAATTAACGTGAAATCATTTATATTGTTTTGATTTCCCATGCAGAGAGAAAGGATAGGCGTTATTTCTCGTCCTGTAAATTTTTCTTGTAATCCAATTTCAATTCAAAACATGCAATTTTATCATGAAAGTCTGGAAAGCTATTTTTAGTCAACTTAGAAATTGCGAAATTCGTAGAAATAATACCTACTTATACCAAGTCCAGATCTACTATCTGACATTCAAAAATTGTGTTTTTCCGTCTGTCTGTTTGCCGAGATAGACATGCATGTATACTCAAGCATGACTCCAGAACCCTTCAAATTAACTGAGTTACTTATAACCTTAAGGTTTATACTGATTCAAAGCCATATCTCAAAGATTTAAATGTCACTAATTAATAATGAGATGTTTGATACAGACTAGACCTTTCATGGCCAGTGGTTTATTTAGTGTGAAAAAGTTTTGTTCCGTAAACTGATATCTGTTTTCTCAGCTCTGAATTATATTCGTCCAAAAAGCCTTAAATTATTCGCCTATCTACTGTCTTTTATTAATTTTCAATCTAAAGTTGAAAATGACTACATGAAATTTTCAACTTTAGATTGAAAATTAATAAAAGACACTACTATAAAATACAATTTTCGCTCGCTTACATTTTATATGGATTTTGCTATATAAATTATAAGAGAGATGCGACGCTCGATATTTAACTATATATATGGCCTCTTGCCATGCTATAAATGCGGGTAGTAAATACAAAATTGATATGTATTTCATATACTGACACTTGGTAAATACATGGCACTTTCATGAGAAAGCAAATGTATTGTAAAGACAAAAATGGTAAAACGACAAAAAAACTTATTTACAATTCAATACATATATGGGTTGAAAAAATGACGAATGCCAGAATTTTGAAATATCAAGTACGTATTCATTTTCATTATTTCATTTATCCAGTGAAAATTATGCTGTTTCCAATATGACAAAAAAGTTGTTGTAGAAACGAAGGCGGCGGTATTTAAAATTAAAAAAAAATTACATCATGATATACAAGTGAAATAAAAAAAAAAAAAATCGGATTATTTTGTGTAGAAATGCCACATACGACCACGTGTGTGATGATTTCAGAGTAGAAATTAATGACAAAATATATTTTCAGCATTCAGTCTATATGTGAGAAAGAACAGCATATTAATCTTATGCTGGCATGGGTTTTTTCCCGATGGATTTACCTTCCAACTACTGGACGTGATTCTATCGTTGATACGCAAAAGGCCTTTTGGAGACAATTAAAAAAGCTAGCAATGGTAATGTAGTATTTTAGTTTAATAAGAATTACTCACATGACTATCTTTTTTAACTTTCTCAAGGCCTAACATCGATCTTCGAATAAAGGATAGATACACAAAAATTAAAATAAAATAAGATAAAATCTGGATTGATTTATATTTAGACTTATTTTGGTTGTAAATGGTGCAAATATAAAATTTCTAAAATATTAAGAAACTGTGATGTGACTTAATTTGTTATTTTCATGATTTTTGAAAAGTTTGTTTGTATCATCTGTCCTTAAAATGAAAAAAAATCAAGCACGAAGTGGCGAGGGTTCATGCATGCTATTTCCTATAGGCAATAGAGTACTTTTAAACTTTCACGCCAAATTTATAAATCATATATACCACCGCTAATACCTTTTTTTAAAAGATTAAAATCGATTTTCTAAGTAGAGAGAAGTATTCGTGGTTGATTTTCATACCACGACATCAATTATTCAACGTCGTTAATATGCCTGTCCTTTAGTGATAGTACAGGTGAAATTCGTAGAAGCATGCTCCTATTTGTCTGTCAATAATTTCTAGCCCCAAAAACTATAAATAGTTCCAGAGATTTTAATTATTCAGAGGAATATTTGAAAAACCATCTGAATAGCATCGATTTAAGCAATATGAACAAAATATTAAACTTCAAAACATGCATAATTTATCTTGTTGTTCACCGCCTCTTTGTTTCCCTAGAGGGCGCGTATTAACTTTATTCTTCGGAAATTCTTTTCAGTGAATTCAGGGATGTCTGGAGGATTCCGTTTTCCTCTAAATTTTATAAAAACTAATTATGCATAAAAACATACGCCTAAGTCTTGTTGTTGGGTCAAACAAAAGGCGATTTACTTTGAATTAGTATTTCTTAAAAAGAGAAGTGAAAATATGATACCAACCTCAACGAAAGAAACTAGTTAAATTTCCCGTGTGAAATTTTTTCTTCAAAAGTAAATGTAGTTAGTATGACAAGCTTGTAAATGTAAACGGTATTATTTAATATCGTCAGAGCAAAATTACGTGCAGGCTTCTATCAATATCAATTAACAACTTAACAGTGAATGCACCTTTACCAGGTAACACCGTGTGGTGTGCACTGCGCTTTAATAATGAGTTCAGATCTAGTATAAAAAGATCATCAAATGATTACACTGCCTTCCCGACTTTAATTTGACCACCAAAAGCCTCTTTCTGTATTAAAAGCAATATGGTTAACGTTAATAGAAAAAGATAAATGGGGGGAGTACAAAAAAAAATCATATACAATACAAGTGAGATTTTGATGTTTGTGATTAGAAAAATTATGCCTAAAAAATCGTCCATGACCGCTAAGGAAGCCTATAGTTTTGAATGACGTGCTGCATAATGCAAAAGGAAGGACACAAAACATGAATTTCACCTCCGTAGAAACCTGCCTATAGAGTAAACAGTACGAGATCTTGGTTTTTATTTATTCTATAAAACCTATCTTTATTAATTCGAGGTAAAAATCTCTAAAGATTAACAAATATAATTTTAAAGAATGTACTGTTTGATTTTCCAATATTTCTGGCATTTTTTCTGCACAGGGAGACCTTATTGAAGATATGTTTTCTAAATGCATGGTTTGATCTGTTCAATTTTTGTCTCTAATTTATAAGAGAACATAATTGCATGTCGGAGGGGGGGGGGGGCTATTTCCATGCATGATCTTGCTCAAATTAAGCACAATTCTAATTCAATGCATGGTGGTGGTTCGAGCCTTATTTCATTTTTTTATGTCAATATATACCTTGTAGTTACTACTAATTAACGTAAAATCCACTGCTGTATACTGCAAAAGTGGGGGCATACGATATAACCGTATGATAAATAACCACCTCCCCCATCCCACCCCTATATTACTTCTACTGACAGGCCCGTAGGAAGCAATTTCAGTTTGGGGAGGGGCACAGCCAAACATTTTCAGTTGGAGGGGCACTATCAACTACCAAAAATTCCTTGACAAGCAAAAAAAAAAAAAAAGGGTCATCAGACGTTTTTATTGAGGGGGCACGAGCATAGTAGCTATGTTTTCTATAGTAATCTATATATCGGCAAAATTATTGGGGCACGGCCCCTCCGTGCCCCCTCCCCCCGGTTCCTACGGCCATGACTGATACATTTTCTAAAGATACAAATTACTTTGGGTAAGTTGTCCTTCTTTAATGTGAAGAATTATTTTAAGCAAGCTCAACACATTCGTCCGATCAATTTGACAAGGACAATTTATAAAATTATTGCTTACAACGCTTGCTGTTTTAATTCATTAAAAAAAACCCACTACCTGTCGCGTGTCTTTGTCAACAGAAATCTAATCTGTGCAACGATTTATTTGGTTAGGGTTATCCTTCCGCCACCCCCAGAGGTGCTGTCAAAAAAGACGACCCACGCTAACTCGTACACTTTCCAACACGCTGTAGAGATAACTAATTTAAACAATCAACCGTATTGGTTTGTTTGTTTTTTTAATTTGTAAAAAAAATATAAAAAATCTGTTGAAATATACAAAATATATAATTGTGTATATTTTGAGTTAACATAGAACAAAAAGCTGCGCGGAGAAGGAGCACAATATAAAAGAATAAAATATCATAAAAAAGATAACACGCAGCTCTTATTTAACAACAGAGCTAGGAAGGCACGGTGTATTGTTTATGTTTACATATAGCATTTCACGTAAAAGCAATTTACACATAAATTCATTAGGCAGTGGTAACTTTCAACAATGGTCGCTACAAATATACATAATTGTAACAATTTCACAGAAAAACGGAATAATTTTTTAAAATTCTTTTTACGTCTTTTTATGTCTCTACAATAATGGCGATTTTTACGAGACGATGAGATCCTGTTTCTTATTACATAATCACAATATTTTGTTCCGATTTCTGTTTAGCCCGGAAATCGTCTATTGTGACACCCCATTATATGCGGGTCTGATTGGCGAGATAGAGGCACATTTAAATCTATCTCTTCCCTGTAATTCGCTGCGTCACCCGTGATGTACATTTAAGAACACACGTTAGATGGGCCTTTTAAAGCGATTCCATCTCGGTTTTCTAATTAACACTTCGTTCTATTTTCTGTACAGTAAGTTAAGAATCAACCAATTGTCGCATATACGACGCTTTGGATTCCGTTTTCTGTTCATTTTTCACTTTTTCTCCAGTAGTTCCTGTAGTGCACCTATGTAGCTCTGAGCCATTTGCAATGTTTCGTACTTGGAAAGTTTCTGGTCCTCTCCAGCTGAGGGAATCACCTCTCGCAGACGATCGAATGCAACGTTCAGACTCTCCATCCGACGTCTTTCTCTAGCATTTGCCGCTAGTCGTCTGCGCTTCAGAACGTCTTTGCTTGGAGCAACCGAAGTTCGCTTTTTAGCTTTGGTAGAACTTTTCAGTGAAACTTTTTCGCCGTTTACAGGAAAGATGTGACTAGCGTGGAAGCCGGAATCACCGGGAAATAAAAAATGGTTTGGTCGCACCAGTCCATGCCGTGGGGTAATGGGAGTTTCTGGGGTGGAGAGAGGTGTGTCGCTATCACTAGGAAGATAAGAAGAAGGGGTCCCAAAACTCTCCGTATCCATATTGTCTGTTTGAGGGCTGTTGTTTAAATCCTGGATAGAAAACGTCAGCGCACAAGGCAAGCCCGTCTTCTGCGTGGAGTCTGTGTCGATAGCACGCATTACAGAAGATGGAATCATGAACGAATCCATTCTAACCAGTTCCTGCATCATTTTCCTATAGCTTCAATATCTCCTCTTCGTTAAGTTTTTTAAATTATTAATTTATATCGTAAACTTGTTTTCCAGGTGAATTGTTTCAGTAGCTCTGTTCTTGTGTTACACATGGGGTTTTAATTTCATTTCGGCATCCCCTGCAGTTTTATCGATATTTGACTTTGTACACTGGTTATGGAGACCACACTACTGTGGAATTGTACAAAATAAGACAGCTGGGGAATGGAAATGCAGTTAACTATATCTCTCTATTTATACTCCACCTGAAGAAATTGGATAAAAATTTTAATCGACCAATCAACTAGGGGCTGTCGTCTATATTTCAACAGTCATGGCCGACTTGCTGTTTCTCGGTGCGTACCCTTCGACACGCCCATAAACAATGCCATCCATATTTAGTAGGCAATCTCTGTATCTTCAGCTTAAGAGAGCTGTGCATTTCTTTGAAATTTGTGTTTTTTGTTCCCGGAAACACAAGAAGTGCTCAATGCGATAAATTGTCTGCACCCTTTTGTGGCAGAGCTTTGGGTCTTATTGCACTGCCTTTCCAATGGTTGCAATTATTTATGTGCAGTCGCGTCCTGAAATGATTTACTCCGGAATACCAATGCCGATCTCGTCAACGTGCATACCGGCAAATTTATGCAAATAAATGAACCTGTGTGCAGGCGTATAGCAGCTCTATATTGTCGTTATAATTGTAATGATAGTACAGAATAAAATATTCTACCACATGAAAATATCAGCGAGGCTATTAACGTTTAAAAAGTAATTTTGTATTACCACAGAATCAAACATAAAGTTGAATGAATGCGTTAAAAAAAAAACTTCGATGATATAACGTTTATTACGGACACCTGTACTCATTTGTGATCGGAGGGTCACAGATATTATACAGTATACAGCCTTATATTTCAGAGATATACACTGAAATAACAATAAGTCAATTTTATTTCAATTTATTCCGTATTTGTTCTGTTTTAGTACCGAGGTACACGTGCGAGCTCTGTGTCGCGTCAGTGCATTATCTCCAGATCTAACGGAGATGTAAATAAGGCTTTTCATTTATTACCCATAGTCCCCTGTTGTGACGATAAAAGACTTCTTTTTCTTCCACGAATTTATTTTTTTAATGAGATAAAACTGCACTAAACAGGGAATTGAAAGATTACGAAATCTTTGAGTTTTGTCAGAAGGAGTGCTGAGTATGTTGTTTTCCCAGGTAATTTCGAGATTGGATTGGATAAAAAAATTGGCCATTCAATAAAAAGTATGCCAGGTCACATGTCTAGTGCGTATCTCATGCTGAAAAAGCAGACACAAATACGTCAACTCTACAAGAGTTTGCAAAAGAATAAACAAAATCATGTTAAAAAGCCGTAATTTTAACCTGCTTAGCCATTTTCTTCCATTAAAAGCCCTTCAATTGTTCGTATCTTATGACTTTTTTCTCGTGATTTTGGGAATCTGATTACCCTATTTTTTATATAATTATTTCAGATTTGTAATATTTTTTTATCTTAAAAAATACTTTCACCTAGAAAATTCAAGCATATTTTTTTCATTAATGCAAGCAATTCCATTTTTTTGCCCTATTTTGGCTTAAAAACATCGTGTATTTCAAGTGTTAAATATAGTGTGTGTTCGTTTAAAAAAAAACAAAACAAAAAAAACAAAAAAAAACTTATATGACACTGTTATCTGAATCTGTTATATTTTTTTTTTATCTAGAAACAAAATTGCCAAATTAAAAACAAAACAAACACAAATACAAGCACTGAATTAAAAAAAAAAACAATACTACATGAATTTAGACATTATTTCCTCTTTAAAGCCAGGTTCAAAGAATTTATACATGTACATAAATTATTTAATCGATTATTTGTTGGACGTTTAACTACAATTAACGATATCAGTAAATAATAAATGTGTGTGCGTGTGTGTGTTTGTGTGTGTGTGTGTGTGTGGAAAAACTACAATAAAGAAACTCATTACATTTATACCATATGAAGCCTTTACCCAACTCAGTGTATATGCAAAAATTTCAGAAAAATCTGGGTATTTTAGGGACCATTTCAAAATACAGTTACATTTACTATAGGATTGGAAACTGCTTTTTGGCACTTCAAAGTAGATTATAAAAATACCACTCTACTAGAGACTCTTTCCTCAGATTATAATATGTAATGAGTGATACTATCTATATTTTGCAGAGGAAAATATGAAGATTTATTCAGCCAAGAAAAATAATATTTCCCCGAGGGGAATATGATTTTTTTAGCTGATTAAATCTTCATACATGCAATAAATTGTTTATTATACTGAAGCAATCTAAGCCTTTAAAAATAAACAGAAACTTTCGCACTGCTCTAAAATTCAGTTTATTTGTTTGTTTTTTAAGTCACTGAAATACTTTACTAGAAGTCACTTTCGACACTTCACAGCTATAAATTGTCCTCGATTTCTTTGATATTTTTAAAAGCATCCATATTGAAAATAAGACTGCTAATTTTGTTACTACTTGTCAGATGAAACCTTTCTATACTATTGTAAATTTTGTGTCGTCAACTGCTCTCGGAAGTTTTCGTTCAAAAAACGATAAGTATTGCGGGAAAATGCATGAGGTTTCCGAAGAGGTTGAATATGATGAAATACATGACAACGACAGAGAAACAAGTAGAGCTTTTTCAAAAAGCTTACCGTCTTTAGCAACAACCTTAAACAGTAAACTGACCTAAACCTATCAGGACGTATAGTTCTTGAAAATTACTTGGCTTTGTATTTCTTCATAAGTTTTTTTTTTTTTTTTGACATAAACCCTACCAAGTGAAAAGTTAACAGATGCTCGACTGTCTCCGTAAATCCGAGATCATTCGGCAAACCTCGGCTGATTCCATCCCCTTTGTGATATGTAGATGAGGTACGAATCGGCCGAGGTGTCGCAGAGTGCTGCCGAGATTAGAAAGACAGTGAAAAACAAAGGGAAAAAGATACATACAAGCTGTAAAGCTTGCATGCAATAAAGATCAATTCTGTTAACAATGAAAATATAGAATTTTTTTTTGGTAATTGCTTTAAAAAAGACTAGCATGTTATTTCGAATTAATTACTGCCAATTTCCACTGTTCGTTTTGTCATATTTTTTTACGATTGAAAATCTTGAAAAATTGTTAAGTCGTACGAAAATTAGATCATCAGAAAATTATCTCCCTTTCCTTGAACAGCATTTCAACCAATGAAATAATTGAAAAATTTTTCATCATGCAATTTCTACCAATCACAAAAGAGAGGATGTGCATAGTCCGAAGACTGTAAAATACTTCAACTCTGTATACCGTCTTCCAAGGAAGACGGTAATTAGCCTGGTTCCCTGTCCCTGTTTTGCTTCGTGTACTCCGCGTCACAAGGATGAACCAGGGGACCAGGCTACAGAGAGAAGTTTTAGCCCCGCCACGTGTCTGTTAAGAACCAATCAGATAACGCGTTGTATAGAATAATTATAATGAGGTATAACGATCATGCAATAAATGTATATTATTATGTAGTCTATAAGTAGTCCCTATATAATCTCCGGTTTCACCGAAGGGTCATTGCATGGCCGTAGGAACTGGGGGGGGGCACGCGGGGCCGTGCCCCCCCAATAATTTTGCCGATATATAGATTACTACAGACGTTGTGTACGGTGTTGGTACACATTGACGTTACGTCAAAATAACGTTATTAAAGTCATAACGTTTTTACAACGTTTTAAATGTTATAATTGCATAATTTAGTTGTTTAATGTGAATTCTATTTTATTTTTTTAAAAATCTAAATAAAATAACAGAGCACAAACTTTTCAATTTTTGAATCTTCGTAGAAAATCTTAAGATGTACACTGAAAATCTTATAATCTATAAGAAATAAATTGTAAGATTTTTAAATATGAAATTGCCACAGGCATACATATTCCCATTCATATAATTGATTTCTCTTTCTATTTCTTTTTTCTCACTTTGTACTCTCTGTCTTGCAAAGAGAAAACACATCAAATAGCTTTCTCTTTCAACCGTTTCTCCTTCATTTTTTTTTCCATTAAGTCATTTCAGTTTTCTATTAAGCCCCGCAAGATCAAAGAAAAACACAGAAAATCGATAGTCCTTTCATGCGCGGTACCAGGAATTTTTCCGAAGGGGGGGGGGTTCCATCCAATTCCAAAAAATATGACTCTCCAAGTTTTTGACAAGCAAAAAAAAAATTATAATTGAAAATCCCAGGAGGAGGTGGTCTGGACCCCCCCCTTCCCAACCTCCTCCGCCCCTGCCTTTTTTTATTGAAACCTTTTGAATTCTGTCATTTTCTTTCTATATTTTTCTAGAATATGTTAAATTAGCAGTGGCGGATTTAAGGGGGGCGGACCCTGACACAACTATACTTTTTTATGACAATTTTTGTGAGGTTTCATTAAGATTGTCTACTGAGAGAGCACCTGTGGAAAAAATATAGAAGGTACATTTGTAACCATGTGTTGCCACCTCCCCCTCATATATAAGTAATGGCATGATATTTTATATTGAATTGAACTTTTCTTTTTCTTTTTCAGCCCCAGTAGTTAAGCTCTCTTTATAAATTGGAGGGTGGGAGTGGTGGTGGGGGGTATTGACATGCAAAAAAGGAGGGATGGGGACATTTTGCTATTAAAACCCCTACCAAATTGAAAAAAAACTGGCTTATCACCAAATTCAGAAATCTTATTACTTTTGGGGGGGGGGGGGAGGGGGTCTCATTCTCATTTTTAGCAAAAATAAAAACAGAAGAGAACAATAACGTGATATGTTTAGATATTGCTGCAACAAAATAAAAAGGGGGTAGCGGCCTTTGAATGAAAATTTTCAGAAAATTTAAAACAAAAGATTATTCTAAAATAATTGGAGAAGGACCTCCTACCCTACTTGGTACTCCGCACCTGCAGAAAATTGGAAAAAAAGAGCACGGCGATAATAATTTGACGCTCCCCACTCATTCGTATATATGTAGTATGTAAAATGACGTTTTTCGTACCTGTGACAAAATATGGCTACATTTATATTGATGCTTGCATTTATTTCATGTAGACGATTGCCGTAAAAATTATGTTATTATCTAACACAGTACGAAATGTTCTTTCAAGATACAGTAATGATTGGTATATATATATGACATTAATTTATGTGTTTTTGATATTTAAGTGATAGTACA